GAGAAACCAGGTACTGACTGTACACCCCTTTGCTTAATAAAAAGTTCTGTACCACAGTCTTTTGGGGAAAAGTTAAACTTGTAACAAGTTCTGAACACATAATTTCTATTCATTTCACCTTATAGGAAGCCCTATTTTTCTACATGTTTTTTAATAAAATTATCACGTTTTCTGGCAGAGTACTATTAAGAAAAGTATTAATATACTTAAAAATTAAAACTTAAGCATTCTCTGAATTATTAATATAATTTAATATTTGATTTGCTAATTTGAAATTTTTTTCTTCAAAATATTGTTGCTAATTTTTCTTGACCTAATTATTTTAAATAAAATAAACACAGAAATAGAAAAAAAAAAAAAAAAAAAACAGAAAAACAAAAGTAAGATAAACCCAAGAAAAAATTTCTGGCAAACATATGAAAGTTTTTTCCTTTAATTTGATCCATACCTTTAACTGAGTTGGAAATGATCTACATTCTTTCTGTGATGCAACAGTAGTGCATGGTGGTGAGGTAGATTTGATTTGATTTTGGCTCTGAGGTCTGAAGTCCAATGTTTCAGAAACTGTATCCTTTGAATTAAGTGATGTCCGTTGTTTCTGCTTTGGTGATTGATTTACTATAGTATTATGAAGAACTTGGAGCTGCAATGAAGATCCAGAAGGCTCTAAATTCAAATCCTGTTTATTCTTGTTAACAGTGCTTGGGTTAACCACAACACTAGATTCTCTTTTATCATTTACATTGTTTTCCTCTTCACTTGAATCATCTGGTAAAATGATTCTGGATAATTTCTTTTCTGAKCGTGCACAATTTTGTTTCATCTTCATTTGCTTTAGCATTACTGCACGTCTGGTTTTATATTTTTTAGTCCCATTTTCAAAACAATCATCAGTTATTAAGTTAAAATCAACACAAACTTCTTCTCCACTTGACTGGCTTTTAGAAGACTCTTCTTCATCAACACAAAAACTGTCCTCTAAATAGGTTTCATCTTGCTCAGGAATCTACAAGAAAAACACAAATAAAAATAAAATTTATTTCATATAATCAGTATGTATTTACATATTCTTTTAAACATGAATGTTCATTTCACATATTACCTCAGTAATTTATTCAACTAACACATTCTTTATGAAGGAAAATAAGAACTTGGGGTATAAAGAACTGATGTACCCTCTAGAAATTTATATTCTAGGGAGGGTGGCCAGAAAAGTAACCAATAATAAAAATGTAATGAGTGCTATACCATAAATGTGTGCATAGAGATAAATGTATGTATACTTACATGGTAAGAATAGAGATATGAATAATCATATTATCATACCAAATATGACAATTTATGAATACAGAAATGTTATCCATTAGTCAAAGATGACCTATAGATTTCAGAATATATTTTATGAAAAAAATTAAAATTTTAAGAGAAACATGATATATGAGAATCAAAATTTTAAATAGCAGATGATACAGTTCTACTCACTTCCACCATTCTCCTAATTAGAAAAAAATTTCATAGTATATTCTTTGGGTTTTTCTTTGTACCGAGGATTGAATTCAGGGGCACTTGACCACTGAGCCACATCCTCAGCCCTATTTTGTATTTTATTTAGAGACAGGGCCTCACTGAATTGCTTAGCACCTTGCTAAGTTGCTGAGGCTGACTTTGAACTTATGATCCTCCTGCATCAGCCTCCTGAGCCACTAGGATTACAGTGTGCACCACCACAATCAGCTTGTTGTTTTTTTTTTGTTTGTTTGTTTGTTTTGTTTTATTTTATTTAATGGTGCAGGAGATTGAACCCAGGGCCTTGTGCATGCGAGGCAAGCATTCTACCAACTGAGCTATATCCCCAGGCCCCTTCAAAGTATATTCTAATTGGRTCAAATGAAAGAATAATTTGATCCAATTGGGCCTAAAAGGGACCTCGAGAACTAATTTAGTCCACCTTCCTGTCTCTAAGCAGAAATCTTGAAYAGCCTTAATAGCCCAGCTTTAGGAACAAAATTAAGGGATCATTAACAGGAATTTATTTCAACATCAGCATCAAGAAATTCTCCATTATTATTTCTATAGTTCATACCTGTGAGAAAATGTTTACATTACTATGTTTCTTATGGATCATTTTGTACTTATTGCTCATCAATGGACTACGCAAAGATTTCACATAAATAGCTCTCATTTCAGAATCTGTAAAAGGTAAGAATTTAAGATAAAATAGAATTATTTTAAATAAAAACTGGTATTTAACTTTGACTTCAAATTTAATGATTCAAACAATGTGAAAACATTTTATTCAAATGATAGTAATACATAAGAAAATATGTTGAAAAACAGTTATTCAAAAATGCAAATTCAGGACTTTTGCTTCTGAAATCAGACATCTAGTTGGGTGAACATGATTTAGACAGTGCTTTTCTATTCAAAACAAATGGATACAAAGACTTTAGGACTGAATCTGATTTATAAAATTATTCTAAAAAACACAAGAAATTCAGGTATAAAAGAAAACTTGGATTTAGAAACATTAAAAGCTATAGCCAATTTTCATGATCTACAGTTAAGTAAAAATTAGGAAATACAAGTTTTTTTGCTCATCAGTTTTAAAAGTTATAGCAATGGATACCTTTTTTTTAAAGTTTTGAAATCACATATATTTAAAATGTACTGGGCTGGGGATGTAGCTTAAGCGGTAACTCGCTCACCTGGCATTCGCAGGGCGCTGGGTTCAATCCTCAGCACCACATAAAAATAAAATTAAGATGTTGTGTCCACCGAAAACTGAAAAATAAATATTAAAAAATTCTCTCTCTCTCTCTTATCTTTAAAAAAATAAATAAAATAAAATGTACTATGTCTAAAATGGAGATTCTCCCCATTCTCCATTCAAATTTCTCCATCTGCACTCTTCTCAATATCAAATAACAACTATACCCATGCTGTTGCTCTAGCCCACTGACTCTTCTCTTTCTAACCCATCAGAAAATCCTGTCAGCTTTACCTATCCAAAATCTAATCTTTCTCAACTTCCTTAATACTATCTTTGCAGAAGTCACTATTATTCTTCAGTTGGGCTTGGTTTACTACAACAGCATCCTAGATGGTCCCCTACTTTTACTGCCCTGTAGGCCATTCTCAATATAGAAACTGGGGAGATTTTCACTCAAATATGTCAGATGATGATCTCAGTGCTACTTCTTGCCTTCCACCTAATACCAGTCACAATGCTAGGCATACACATGCCTCAGGGAATTGGCTTCTTATCTTTGAATCAACATTCTACCACCAAGATTATGGTGTAAACCTACAAAAACCACATTGGTTAAGATTAATGAGCATGAAAGGCATAAAATCTTATTTTGTAAATCATATTAGTATTAAGGATAATCAGAACTTTATACTTCTTTCTCTTTAAACTTGGGAAACTTTGCTGTTGTAAACCATTAGCAAAGACTGCATGAGCAGAATGAAGGACAACATCTGTGAAAGACCAGAATACTGAAGAGCGTATCAGAGTATTTCTCACTTCTGTTATAGCCAGTTTTAATCATTAACTCAAAATGTCTGATATACAAAATATGCTCAAGGCACTGCTTGAAGACATGTTTTCTGAAACCAAATCTCCCTTACTTGGCAAATTCAGTGAAGTTTAGCTTTTTTTCTCAGATGGTTTTATTAATCCACATTGCTAAATCCTTCTACTTTTTTTTTTTTTTTTTGGTGGTGCTGGGGATTGAACCCATGGATTTGTGCATACTAGGCAAGCCCTCTACCAAATGAGCTACATTCTCCAGACCCAATCCCTCTTCTTCTAGTCACTAACCGAATGTCATCTTCTCAATACGGCCTACTCCTCATCACTTTATTTTAAAAGGCAACTTGTCCATTATTAACACCGTCAACCCCAGCCAGTCCAATTTCCTATATTTTTATTTTTATGTAAATATTTCATCTTATAATACACTGAGTAATTTAGTTGTTATGTATATTCTATCTCCTTCCATTCAAATATGTTTAATACAGAAAACTTTTTGTCCCCTTGTTCACTGCCATCTTTCCCAAGTGCCTCATATTACCAAACATTAAATAATAGCTAAATGAACCTTTGACACACAGGCCATCGAGATCAATCCGGAGAGAATTATTCTAAATACGCAGAAGCCTATAAACAAACAAGTCTAAAATAAAGCAAGTACTAACAGAATTTAAATTAAAATGACCAATACTACGCACATACCAAATTTAATTCCCTTTAATGTCTAGTTTCTTTGAAAATGAATTAAAATATTTAAATGATATTAGGAACATTGAAAGATTTTTTTTTTTGGTACTGGGAATTGCACTCAGGGGCACTCAACCACTAAGCCACATACTCAGCCCTATTTTGTATTTAATTT